GTTCGTGTCATGAGAGAAGTTACACTCCTCCGTGTGTCTAGACGGACGGAACATACACCGAAGATACACCGCAGATTTACTTATGCGGGTTCCGCGGCGAAGCGGGGTGTATCTTCATACGAAGATACACGGATTCCAAGTCGAAGCGGTGTATCTTCACGGACCGCGTTGATAGTGAAGATACACGTTAGCGGGAGCGGCACAGTTGCTCATGCCGCTGGAGGGGCTCGGCCACCCCTTTGAGGCCCGCAATGGCGAATGGTTCAAATAGCCACAGCTCCCCGGCCCTGGATGTGAGGTTACTGACTGCACTCCAAGTGCTCCAAGTGCCGCCCGGCCTGGCTAAACGACTGGTTGGCTCGACAGACCTTCTTGGACAGGTTTTCCGGTGGGAAGGGGAGGACTACCTCGTCAACGATATTAGGACGGCGCGTGTTGTGACCGAGCTTGTGTGCGTCGACGCGGAGTTCAATGAAGTTGACGACCATCGCGAGTGCCGTGCCGAGCGGGAAGACGGCCGAGAAGCAGGCAATCAGCCCGAATTGCACAACCTTGCTGTTGTACTCGGCAACGGTTCCGCCAAAGGCCGGCAGCGCGATCTGTCGCTCGATCCGGCTCGTTAGGGACGCCACGGCGCTATCATTGGCACCCTCGCCGTCGGCAGACTCCACGCCACCTCTGCCACAGCAGCCGCTGCTGCAGCATTGATCGTTGCAGGCGCAGCGACCGCCGCAGCACCCCTCTCCGCGGCTCTGCCGGATGGAACGCTTGCGCCTCAGTAAGTTGAGCCTGTTTGTGAGCCGCGGGAGAAGGATTTGCAGAGGGAGCTCATAGAGCGGCTTGATCAGCATCAGGGTGATCATCTGCATGCGCAAGTCACCCCAGCAGTCGGTTCGCACAAGGATAAAGTTGTAGTCCTCGGGGCAGTCATACTCGCCGCCGCGGCATGTTTCACTCTGCACGACGTTGCAACCAACGCTGGCCCACCAGTCTTTCCCACGCA